AAAAGGTGAAACTGGGTCAATTTTAGCCACTTTGAAATACTGAACTCAACCAGCCGGCGACTCTGCGTGACAATCTGTTCCATGACTGCACGTGACACAACATACAGCCGTCAAAATGACAGTCACGGAATTAAGGTAGTAACGCAACGCAATTCTTAAAATAGGAACATTTTCGATGCCGACAGGCAGTTTTGAAGAAGAAAAAATCAAACGTACTAGTATTCTGGTACTCATTTTTTATCGAAAAATAAGGACTTTAACAATCGTACTTCGCTAAGGATGGGGGAACAGGAAGATATTTCTTCTTGTTACTTCACGATCGAGGAAACTTGGTGCCGTTAAATATGTTATTTTGGTCACGCTTCACTATATTTACCGGACTTCGATGTTTTCGTTTGGAGGCTGCCTTCAGGAACCCAAGCCAATTCTCAGGTATGTTTTAGATGAATGTCTAAATGCTTGAATAATCGAGGACTGGGAAAATTTGGAGCTATACCACAGGAAAAATAATGCCGCAGAAAACAACTACTTAATTAAAGTTTTTGTCACCGTAGAAAAATGTTCTTCGTTTTTGAATTATGTCAGTTCAACGAGTCTTGATATTGCTTTGAAAGTATCTTCTAGTGAAATAAGAAGAGTTGTTCTATTGATGGGAAGTATCCAAATTCCTCCTTGCGCTTTTATTTGCGAACGCGAGGAGAGTTGATCTTAGCAAATTTCGGGTTGAAAAGACAGCCATTTTAAGACTCCTACCACGAAAACTAATATTCTTACTTTTCTCGAAAATAAAAGGGTTTTTGCGAGGACAACTTACACCAGATTACTTATCTACCAAAAAACTATCTATGGACAAAAAATGAAGCAAATCGAATTTTCAACTCTTGCCACTCGATGGTCGATATTTCCTGACCATCGCTATTAAATATTTTGTGCCCTTGAAAACGAAGTGAAAATTTTCTTACATTTGTCCTACAGTAGGGCAAACGGAAGGAATTCCTACTTTAAGTTTCTATGTTTTGTTGGAGCCTCAAACAAAAAAAAAAGAAAATAGTCAAATGAGTTGCGCAGAAAATGATTTTCGAAAGTTGTTCGCACATAAATAAAGGTACTACAGGTCCGTTTTCCACTCGCCTAACGAATAACACATATGTTATACAACAAACATACCACGCAAGGTAGAAACATTACCGTCATAAACTCTCCTGCTGTTGAGAATTTGTAGTTAGATTTTCTGTGAATCAACGCCGGCTAGCGGTTAGAGTGGAGGGTAAACCACAGCTCTCCAGATTTAAAGTTACGTTAAGAAATCGAAAAATAAACGCCACATAATTAAAATGTCAAAGTACCTAGGGCTATAGGGCTAATCGAAAACAATATTTTTAGAAACGCCATTTTACAGGGTCATAAAAGCTAAGCTGAGGTCTAGCTTTTGTAAAGAAAAAAGCATCAGCTTCTTTCAACAGGAACTTCAAGACCTTCAGAATTTTTTAGTGGCACTGGCCGGGTATGTAAACTCTATCCACGACCTCCCCGCACTGCCGCCAGGAGCTCGACAACTGAGCTAAAACCAAAAGCATCGTTTCCCTTTTTCGTCCTTATAAATAGCACACTAGTGCGTTTCCTTGAGGTCCTATAGAGAAACCTGTATCCCACAACTAACGATACGGGCGGACGGTTTGAGATTTACAGTCAAACGACGATCCTGAAGAAAAAAATCTTGGGACAAATTTGTATTTGTGGGACTTTTTTTAATTCACACATGCCCAATCCCTCACTTCACCCCTCAAACAACGTTGGAAGTTTGTATTCAGAAGGCTTCCAGAGATTTAACTATGTATAAGGTGGGCATGGAAAACTGCAAGCAATTCTCGAAAGTGATGCACTGTTTAACAAGGGCACACAGAAATTAAAGGAAATTATGAATACTGCATTACTGTCCCAAAGACTATTGCCAAGATTGCAGGCCAAACGTACCCCCAATGTTACATTAATGAATTTTGAATTGGATAGTTGAATCCGTTTGTCAGTGCCGCAACTAGTGTCAAATAAACCAATTTCGATATATCAAAATTCAGGTTTGGCACTGTGGCGTATGGGATATAACAAAACAAGAGAATTATTCATTGGTGAGCCTCGAAAAGATTTCTTTTGTTTTATTTCCCCTAAGCCTCTGTGCCAAACCCGAATTTTAATATATCTCTGGTTTGAATATTTATTTAAGTCTGCATTCCTGCATGCATAACGAGCAATAAATTTTTTACGACAGCTTCTTTGTATTCTATCAGATTGAGATATCTTTGACTGGACAAATGGACAAAATAGCGTCAATGACATTTACATCAAATTCAGGAAAACTGAGCACGTAGCAATTTCATAGCTACCTTGCCTGCTCGTTACGCGTTACGCATGCAGCAACGAAGAAATGATTCTGGATTCTACAACTATCAACGGATTCAACTTTCGAATAACAACTTCATTAATGGAATCTTGGAGGGTACGTTTGACCTGGCTTGACTGTAATTTTATCATGACTTTATTGTAACAAACCCCAACTTTGCTCAGGCTCCTTTAAAGCAACCTGCAGAAGAACCTTCAAATGATGATCGGATACATGCATATACAAATGTAAATGGGCCATCCGAGTATGCAGGCCGCTATGATCCGCACGCCATCAGCGCCCCGCGCGCACAACAAAGTTCACTTTGCGAGAGTTAACAATTACAATTAAATAAACCGTTGCAAGGAAAGTAGCTACGCATTATCTCACCTGGTAGTTGGGAAAGAAATTGATATAATAGTCGATAAGGATGTTGACCGTGATGTGAACACTGTTGACAATTCTGTTTCCGTCTGAGGTGGGAACGATTCCGAGCTAGTGACAAAAACAGTGTTTCGAGTTAGCAAAGAAAATTATTAACTGTAAGTATCATAAAAATTGAAAAAGTGGTCGGGAAGTCGTAATAATGGAAAGGTTTAATGCAGTAATTTCATAGCTTCAATTGTGATTTATCATCAAACAGTTATTGAAATAAGGTATTTCTGGAACAAAAATAGTAACTTTAAACTGATTTCCGATAATGACATAAATCTCTAGTTTAAAAGATATTACAAGAAAGTCACTTAATAAAAATCCGGTCTGTAGTGGTGTGTTGAGAAACTAGTGGATATTAGAACCAAAAAGTATAAGGGCTACTACCTAATTGGAGGTGCAATTGATAATGATGTTGTTGGTGTTGACACCGGCCTCAAGGTCGACACACTTGACATTTTAAAATATCTTGTTGATTACCTAGTGGACACGATCGTTGCGTTTCAGATTTCTGTCACTGCCTGAAGTTTATGTGTTGTTGTGGTCCTAATGAATCCTTTTGTCTTTCAACTCAATAAACGAGGCAGGAGCTTAGAGAACATTATAATTCCTACCTTGTAAAAATACTCGTTGTCGACACAGATGACAATGTGGAGACAGAGCTTAATGTTGAAACACTTGATGATGTTGATATGGAGGATGAGGTTGACACAGAACTTGAAGTTGACACACTTGAAGACGTCGACAAAGACGTGGAAGTTGAAACACTTGTGGTAGTTGGTGTTGACACACTTGATGATGTTGATACTGACGAAGATGTGGACACAGAGCTTGAGGTCGATGTACTTGATAAAGTGGACACAGAAGAAGAAGTCGACACACTTGACGATGAGGACACCGAGCTCGAAGTGGACACACTTGATGATGTCGAAACAGACGACGATGTCGAAGTGCTAGTTGTGGTTGGTGATGAAACACTTGATGACGTTGATATCGAGGAAGATGTGGAGACAGAACTTGAAGTCGACACACTCGAGGACGTCGAAACAGACGACGAAGTTGAGATACTTGTGGTGGTTGGTGTCGGGACACTCGATGATGTTGATACTGAGGAAGATGTGGAGACAGAACTTGATGTTGAAACACTTGATGATGTAGAAACACTCGATGAAGTTGATATTGAGGATGATGTGGACACAGAACTTGAAGTTGACACACTTGAAGACGTCGACGAAGACGTGGAAGTTGAGACACTTGTGGTAGTTGGTGTTGACACACTTGATGTAGTTGATACTGACGAGGATGTGGACAAAGAGCTTGAGGTCGATGTACTTGATGATGTGGACACAGAAGAAGTTGAGACACTTGATGATGAGGACACCGAGCTGGAAGTGGACACACTTGATGAAGTCGAAACAGACGACGATGTCGAAGAACTTGTTGTGGTTGGTGTTGAAACACTCGATGACGTCGATGCCGAGGATGACCTGGACACACTTGATGACGTAGAGAAAGAGCTTGAAGTGGGCACACTTGATGATGTTGACACAGATGACGATGTTGAAACACTTGTTGTGATTGGTGTCGAAACACTCGAGGACGTCGATATCGATGATGAGGTGGACACCGTGCTTGAAGTGGATACACTTGATGATGTTGACACAGATGACGATGTTGAAACACTTGTTGTTGTTGGTGTTGACACACTGGATGATGTTGATACGGAGGAGGACGTGGACACCGAGCTTGAGGTGGAAACACTAATAGAGAAAAAAGACATTAAAGTCATATTTCTGTTGATGTGAAATGTGAAGAATGTAGACTAGCGTCTCTCGCCCTGGTTTTCATAGAAGTAAAAGGTTAACCTTAATTGTTTTTAAAGTTGGCCGTTAGGCTCATTTCATTCGTCGTGCTTATGAGCCGTGCCAAACTCAGTTGATCGAATTTGATTTACCTCAACAGGACACCACATTTAAAACCAAGACGTTCCACTGCTGTGTGGCACGGCAAACCAGCACGCATTGCTGTCAACACGAGACTTGCAGGACTTGAAGCAGAGCCACACCAAGTATTAAATTAAAAAGCAAGTTGCATTGTTGATACAGAAATTAAAGTGGACACACTTGATAATGTCGACACTGGGGACAATACCGACAGTGAACTGGAACTGTACCAGCTAAAAGACAGGTGATTCTAAATTAAATATCGAGTAAGGTTATTGTCCGATATTTTCAAACTCACATATAATCTACATTTCTCGATGTAATTGATTCTGGCGTAGTTGATATTGGGTGTAGGTGATCTTACTGTGGTTGTTTTGGTGTAGTTGTAATTTAAGGCGCAACTTTTTAACTACCTGTCTTTTCCGTGAAGCTTTAAATACTCGCAAAACGAAGCACTGATGAAGAGAGAATTTTCTTTTTCTTGAACTATTAATTTGAATCAATAATTAGACACCCTAAATTAATTTGATGTTGTTGATTGATAATTATACCTCTTAACCTTATTACTTATACTTAGTTTACTTTTGTCATTTAGGTATACTTATATAACTCTGAATTTTGTTTGTAAATGGGTAGCCTGAATGTAATAAGCCCCACCTCTTTCTATCCAGGCTTCCCTGCCACTTTTAGTGGTAATCTGATCAATCAATCAATGAATAAATAACTAACGTGGAGAGAGTGGGCTAGGGATCAGGGTAAAATAAGCACACTGTCGGTATCTTAAGCTTGTTTCCTCCTATTCATTTGCTACAGAAGTAGTGGGAGAATTTGATATAAAATATCAAGCAAATTCATAAAAGAGAAATTTGATGCTGACCACTCTTAAGGCTAAAAGGGTTAAAGGTCACGACGATATTTAAAGTATGTATTAAGCGACATTGAAGTCTACATTATTTCAGTTGCTCTAAAGACGCACAAAAACCTTTTTAAAATACAACTACAGATTCACAATCAGCCTTATAAATTCAGATTCACAATCAGCCTTATATGCCACCAAAGTAAAGGTTCCAAGCCTGAAGTACTGTCCAGAATTGTACAGACAACAGCAGCACTAGCAAGGCTCAAGACCATCTGGAGTGATAAGCATATCTCTCTAAGCTCAAAGATCAGACTAATACGCTCCCTAGTTATCTCTGTACTAATGTACGCCTGCAAAACCTGGACATTGACAGCGGACATCCTGAAGAAATTGCAGGCCACTGAGATGAGATGCTTTCGGAAACTGCTTGGCATCTCATACAGAAATCACATCACTAACGATGCAGTCAGAGACAGAATCAGGCAAGCCATTGGGTTCTATGATGATATCTTAGCCACGGTTAAGAAACGCAAGTTAAAGTGGTTTGGGCATGTATCAAGATCATCAGGGCTTGCCAAAACGATTTTACAAGGAACAGTGCAAGGAGGGAGAAGAAGGGGCCGACAAAAGAAGCGTTGGGAAAACAACATCGCTGAATGGGCAGGGTTGAAGTTTTGCCACACCGTAAGAGAAGTTGAGAACAAAATAAAATGGAGGGAGAGGGTTGCAACGTCTGTGGCGCCCCAACGGTCAGTGACTACGGGATAGGTGCAGGTGCACAGATTCACAATAACTCTTTAGCCCGTGGCCGGGAACCTTGTAGTGATTGGTGTCGAGGACGACGATGATGAATTTGTTTACCTGTACGTTTTGGTAAATTCGTTAGGAGGCGGCTTCGCGCTAGAAGGCAATGTATATAACAAACATGACTGAGATTGGCACCGATCTTCTTCTCTTCACAGCTAAACGGCTGATTAAGGGAACCTTCCATCATCTAGTGACTGTATTTACCTCTTCTTTATTGTCTCCGTGCTAGTTTTATACTTAGACAAGCTTTAATGCTTATGGAAACCACTTAGAGCAACACTTAACGGAGGAAGTTAAATGGGCAAAGCTCTTCTCTCCACAGCTGAACGGCTGACTGAGGACAGGTTTAATTTCATATTCTAGTAAATGGTTTTACCTTCCTTCCTTGAGTAGCTGCTAGTTTGTTTTAATACGTCATTTACTATTACATGGAAGCCTTATGGCGTACCACTGATGTCCAGAAAATGTCGGAGATCTGTATCTTTCTTTCGCTCGCCATAGCTAAGCGGCAGATTAAGGAAACCTTTCAATATCGAGTGAATGTATTAAGTTATCCTTCCTTGTCTCGATGCTGGTTTCTTATAGAAGCCCCTTAGGGTACCAGTTATTTGAGAGGATTTCAGAGATTAGCATAATTCACCTTCTCACCAGAGTTATACGGCTGAAAATCTTTTAACATCTGGTAAATTTTCACTTGTTTGCCCTATTCGTATTTATAGACGCGACATTTAAAGCTTGCAGTAGCCTTTTAGAATGCCACAAAGTGGAAAAGATTTCTCAGAATAGCATCGGGATCAATGAAAGTTTCTGGGAAACGGCCCATCCACCCCTCCCCAGAGCCAACATTAATACTTACTTCTCGTTCAGGGCAAAATTTCGATTTAGGGGAGGGGTAGGTGGGCAGTTTCCCAGAAACCCAGAATAGCATCGGGATCAATTAAGGTTTCTGGGAAACTGCCCATCCACCCCTCCCCTGAGCCAACATTAACACTTACTTCTCGTTCAGGGCAAAATTTCGATTTAGGGGAGGGGTAGGTGGGCAGTTTCCCAGAAACCCAGAATAGCATCGGGATCAATTAAGGTTTCTGGGAAACTGCCCATCCACCCCTCCCCAGAGCCAACATTAACACTTACTTCTCGTTCAGGGCAAAATTTCGATTTAGGGGAGGGGTAGGTGGGCAGTTTCCCAGAAACCCAGAATAGTATCGGGATCAATTAAGGTTTCTGGGAAACTGCCCATCCACCCCTCCCCAGAGCCAACATTAACACTTACTTCTCGTTCAGGGCAAAATTTCGATTTAGGGGAGGGGTAGGTGGGCAGTTTCCCAGAAACCTAAATTACTCCCGGCATCGTTCTCCTTCCTTTCTTTAAGTTTTAACAATGCTTAAATTTACAAACATATTTGTTTTAATAAATGACCGTTTAACTTGTCTACTTTAATAAATTGACTAGATAGTTTTCTTTAAATCTTTAATGTTAAACATTTAACGTTAACATTTTTTAAATCTTGGTCAATATTGGTATATGGCTTTAACCCTCGAGGAAGGACATTATTATAATTTTCATGATGTTGGATTCGTTACATATAAAATATATTTCTTTTTTTTTTTACCGTGGTCACAGTTACCATCTTTTATTTAGTATCACCAGTAACAACAAAATCCATTCCACATTGTTAATTTTAGCCGTATGTAGGGCGCGTGTCTCATACGAGAATTGTAAAAAGGACCATGAGTTTCTCCGTAGCATCAATGGTAACAGAGTTAGCGTCGAGAGTGGAGGGTAAAGGAAGAAAAAGAAGAGGGGATTGGGGAGAGAAAAGGGATTCTTGCCCTCTCCCTTTCGCGTGCTTTCCTCCCCCTCTCCTCCCCTCCCCAGGCTATCACAGCGCCCAAAAGGTAATCTAGAGACCCACGCTCGTATATTTGAGATGTCACATCTTTCTCGTTACTATCATTAGTTTTTCTAGGAATATATAACAATTATTCACCGAAGTAGAGGTGGCTAGTGGTTGTTATTTTCCGAGGCCGCGAAACGGCGAGGTAATTATCCACCACTAGCCACCTCTACTTCGGTGAATAATTGTTTTAGTATATACTAAAACAGTGAGATAATTGAGCTCAAAAATGATGATTTTTAACTCATTTACTATTGGCAACGATTACAATTTTGCCGCACAATGACCGAACGGCCGCGGTTCTCGCTTTTTCTTACCGACAAATAAAACTTTTGAAGGCATTTGTTTAGCTCTTGCGGGGAATTTCTTCAAAAGAAGTTGTGAATTCTTTTTGTATTTAAAATCATTCTGTAAAATTTAGTTTTAAGCTTATTTATAAACAAGTAAATTAACTAAAGTAACGCAAGAATTAAGCTTAATTTGCATTTTTTCTAAACAAAAAACTTTTTCACCGGTTTTATCGATAAATTCAAGTCAAAAAGACAAAGCTTTACCTGTTAAAACTTCCAAACCGAACTTCGTCACCTTCTTCGTGTATTTCGGGAACAGCTTGCTTGATTAGATGTGAAATTTCTTTGTTTGTTACGGCAGCAAACCGGGAAGGCATTTTGCTGGCAGCTTGGCGTCGCTCGCTCGAAGGAACTGGAGGTGAATCAGTGAATAGTGCAGGATATTCACTGATTAGTAGCCAATCAGAGCGCGCGAAAAACACTATCCACTGATTTAGTATATACTAAGCTGGATTACTATTAACTTTTCTCATTTTAATTACCTTGATGCTAACGAACTCGTCGTGGACGGTGTAGATACACTCGATGACGAAGTGGAAAGCGAACTTGATGATACACTGAAGCAAGAAAAAATTGTTGTTAATAGCACTGAATATGGTTCTGTTCAGTATTTCTTACAAGATGGTTCTAACGGTGGATGGCTGTCGGTGGATGAAATCCTATGATGTGACCGTTCGCATGAGACCGACTTATCAGTACCTTCGTGTGGTACTGATTATTAAGCTGTACACGATGTTTCTAAATACTGAGTCTGCCGACGAAATCCTAAAGTGTGACCATTACAATAAAAGCTACTGAGCAGTGCTTTCCTGTGGTATTGTTTATTACGCTGTAAAAGATGTTTCTAAAGGTACGGTAAAACAGGAAACTTATCTTGCACATTGCTACAAAACAAGTTGACTAGCGATGCTGCGCGTTTTACCACGCACATCAAACCTGTCTTGCAACAAATAATGTTGTTGACAGGTTAGATGTGGGTGGAAGAAGGCGCACAATCTCTTTTAAACTCGTTTTGCAGCAATAATATAGAAGAAGTTGAACGTTTTCTTTTTATGCCTGTTAACGAACCTTAACTTTTGAGTCTGTGGATGAAATCCTAAAGTGTGACCATTCAAATGAAAGCTACTGAGCAGTACTTTCCTGTGGTACTGTTAATCACACTGTACAAGGTGGTTCTAACGTTTGAGTCTGTGGATGAAATCCTAAAGTGTGACCATTCAAATGAAAGCTACTGAGCAGTACTTTTCTGTGGTACTGTTTATTATGCTGTACAAGGTGGTTCTAACTTTTAAGTCTGCGGATGAAGTCCTATGGTGTGACCATTAAAATAGAAGCTACTGAGCAGTACTTTCCTGTGGTACTGTTTATTATGCTTTACAAGGTGGTTCTAACGTTTGAGTCTGTGGATGAAATCCTAAAGTGTGACCATTCAAATGAAAGCTACTGAGCGGTACGTTCATAAGGTATACTGTACATGGTGGTTCTAATTTTTGAGTCAGTGTATGAATTCCTATGGTGTTACCATTCAAATACAACCTCTTCAGAAGTACTTTCATGTGATAGAACTTGGTTTCGGTATTTAACAATTTTGTCGATTTTTATTTACTTAGGCTAGAGTTAAGATAAATAAACAGTACGTAATCATTACCTTGACGATGATGATATGCTTGACGTCGATGATATTGAAGATGTCGAGATTGAACTTGATGTTGACACACTGATTATGAAAAAAATATTACATTATTGCTATTTTGATTTGAAAATTGGATATTAGGCCTCAAATTCAATTGAGAAAAGGAAGAGCTTAAATGAAAACAAAAGAACTACTATTTTTTTCGAGAAATAATCAGGTTGAAATACCAAATATTTCTCGTGTATTTTAGCGGAGCTACACGCGCGAGTGGAGTCCCATAGCTAAGAAAAATTTGGTGATCTATGCGTCCGAGAAATTTTGGTTATCACGTGATCGTCCGTCCGTCTGTCAATACCAAAGGGAAACCAATGTAAAATCTCAAACGTTCTAGCTAGTGTGGGAGCCGACAACATGATTTTGCACATCCATGTGTGGTCGATTGACAGCTGTCAAAATAGGATATCCGCTGACCAGTATCACATGACCGTATTGCGGGTTTAGGTGTCGACTCATCGACGCGACGTGTTTTCTGAAGTTCTCCGCCGACAAGTTACTAGTTTTCAATTGATCGCAGGCTCAAATTTAAGTGGACTTCTTTTTGTTTGAAGTAAAATTATAAATTTATTAACAGGAGCCTCGCCTTTTGCCTTGGCTTAATCCATATTTTACACTTTTTCGAATTTTCACAAAAAAGGCTCATTTCCGTTCTAACCGCTCGGCGACGGTCGAGGGTTTAGAACGGGAGATGTAGAGTGAACTTGAACCTGAAAACATTAAAACACACTCACCTAGTGGTGCTTGACGTTGTTGAAGATGACGAAGATGATGTACAAGGCCTGTTGCATTCGTATGTCATATTGACACACTTAATTCCGTCGAAGTACTGTCCATCTGGGCAAGCGCAACCTTCTACAAAAGGCGCTCGGCAGCATCTGTCATCGGTCGAATTACAAGTTGTGTTTTGCTCACAAGTTACCGGGATTGTAATGTTTGCCTTGTATCCAGCTTCGTTCTTGCACGGTCGGCAACAAGGAAGTTCTGAACAAAAAAAGGGTGACCAAAATTTAAAAAAAAAACTTTCACGTTCGTCATTAGCCTCTCCACTGCCAGAGAGAAAGATGTAGTCTGGTAAGGTGGCTCTAATTAACGTTTGTGTCCAAAAACAAAATCCTGTTGTGTGATCGTTCAAATGAAACCTCTTTAGCATACTTTCACACGGTGCTATTCAACCTCGTTCCCAGGGTCTGAAAACGAGGTTGGGTACTATTTGTTTTTAAGGAATTTTAAAATATGAAATTTGGAAATTTTGTTGAATTTGACTTTGGTCATATTTGGCCGTGATAGGTTATAAGAAGTAGAGTGACGAAGTATTGAAAGCACTCTCCTTCTCTAAAGTGTCCAGGCCAACATCCGGGTACTCCAGTTTTCTCTTCTTCTTAGCAACGAACACTTACAATTCCACCACGAACACGAGTACGATGAGATCTTAAAAACACATGGCACTATTACAAGCGTCTATGACCAGTAAAGTATCTGGATTTCTCCAAGTAGCGCGCGATCTCATTTGTTATCCGGCTATACCAAAGGGATTAATGACTCGAAATTGAACAAGCGAAAACGAGCAAGGAAGTGATAGCTGGTTTCGCTGCAATGATTGAACAAAAACTCACCAATACAACTCCGTGGTAACAGGATCGCTGAATAGACCTTTGTAACGCGGCGGCCATTTTGTTTCAGGAGGTTTAAAAGCTTTGTTTATGCACGGCTAGCCTCGTAGAGAGAACGAGGTGTGTATAAACAAAGCTTGTTTTAATCTCCTGAGACAAAATGGCCGCCACGTGACAAAGGTCTATTGGAGGAATATACTCGACGGGACATGACATCTACAATAAAACTGCTTCCCGCGAAAAGTCTCCGAGTAGGCAACATGACCTGCAGAGACCCTCACGACGACAAATTAACTGTCTATTCTAAGACCAGTCATCAAATGTTGAGTGCTATTTGATAGCGTACATTTATAAGGCTTACCACAAAATCCCTCTTTTCGCCACAGAACAGGTATCCGCGCATTGGCGCATGCTTCAGCATAAGCGGCGACCGCAGAACAAAAGCATCCACAGTCACCTCCCTTGTTGCACGCACAAGCTTCATATATACAATTGTCAATGTATCTTTCGTACGGTACGGAACTGCGGCAGACTTTAAATTCGTCCGCTTCTTTGATCTTATTACAGCCTACAAAAGAAGTTTAGAATTGTAAGTAGTTATTTCACAAAGAGGAAATATGAATCGACAGATGTCAAGTCGTGGAATACGGTAATGATGATGATGATGATGATGCTGCTGATGATAACAATAATAATATGATGAAAATTATGATGACAATAATAATAATGATGATGATAATGATGGCGATTACAATGGTAATGATGATCATAACGTTTATGATAATGGCAAAGGTAACAATAAAAATGATATTGGGATGATGATGATGATGATGATGATGATGATAATGAAGGTAATGATAACAGTTATAATGATATGTGATTTAATTATATGGCTACAATAGTGCTCGCGCTCTGATTCACTGCTGAGCGGGCAAGATTTTCTTGAATGAGCGGGCATTATGAAAATTTTTCTCGGCTAGACGGCTCTTTTGAGTTGTGAGTAAAAGCTACGAGCGCGAGGACGAAAACAACTAAAAATACGGACAAAAGATAGCTATCTTTTCAATAACTAAAAGAACGATACTAGCATACCGATCTCTCTTAGTATGAGCGACGAAGAGAGCAATAGTGAGAGCTAGTTTTATTATCCAGAGGACGAAAAACAGGCCAAAACTGAGAAAAAGGGCTATATTACAGATAATAAATTAACTTCGTCCGTTCTGTCATTACAGGGAAATCTAAGACCTAGGCCTTGCTGTATTGGTCTTGCTATCGCTCGGTCAATAGCCCTTAGTTTTCGCTGTTATGACCTCACTCTCGGTTAATAAGTGGAATATCATATGGTTATGATGGTGATGATGATGGAGATGGTGATGAAAATAGCAATAATAAAATCTCCACTCACCTTTTATTGCCCAGTTTATTCTGTCTGGGTTCTCCTTACAAGGCTCACGTTTGATAGAGTCTTGACACGCGGAAGAAGAGGAAACCAACCAGCTGCGCACAAACGCTTTAACATCACCCACTTGAGAACCATCTCTTTTGATGTAATCTTTGCTGATTTTGCCATCGAAGTTACCACACATGCCTGATAGTTCACCAGAGCCTTTGTAGTAGTTGTTGGGTGTGATATAGACTCTGTTGCCTCTGTCATATTTAACCTGGTTGAAATGATAGAGCGGTGTTTCAACAGGCCGTACTTCTCCTATATGCCGAGTGGCCATTGAAAATCACGTGATATAATGATAATTTTCCCTTTGAAATACAAACGACAAGCGCTCACAAATTGAAGTGAAGGTGTCTGATGAGGACACTCGCCTGCCAACAATGTGGCTTGGGTCGAATCCACGGGGTACAATTAATTGTGAGTAGCAAATTCAAATGACATTTTTTCCGCTTCCCACTGCCACGGTAAATTTGGCGGGAAAATACGTCACTGCATGCGTGGAACTGGACTCTTCTTCATATGAACCAAGTTAAAAATGCCGGCTTGAATTCCGAACCTATCACGCCACTACCATTCGCTTGGTAAAAATGTCACTGTGTTCATATAAGGGAGCCAAGGGGGCATGTTAGACTGGTTATTCTCAGAAGCAAAGAAGATTTTACTTAACAAGAAAATTGATACTAAAGTCCCCTATTTTCCGTATTTCAGTATTTTGCAGTATTTTCGATTTTGGAACGTCAATTTTCTGCGCACCGAGAATCCTTTATCCATGGTAATGGCAGGCCACCAAATGAAGTCACAGATACTTTTTGGCGGATAAACGTCATGCCTACGGCGCGATAAATCAAAATGGCAGCACGCTGGAAATGTAAGAGCAAAATAGACAATAATCGCATCCTTTTTTACCTATTACAGAAGAAATTGAAACTAAGAAGTCACAGATCAATTAAGCTTTCTGGGAAACTGACCACCGACCCCTCCCCTAAGTCAACATTATCACTTACTTCTCGCTTAGGGCAAAATGTTGGCTTTGGGGAGGGGAAGGTGGGCAGTTTCCCAGAAACCTAAAATGTACTCACCAAGTACAAAGGTAAAAATCGATCGTCTGGGCTAAAAACTCGAACGAATGTAAACAATCCCTCGCTGAAGATTTCCGTGTAGGGCAACGAACTGAAAACGCAAGGCTCTGGATAATCGCCTGGGCCTATCACATCGGAATTGCCATTTACAGTGATTGTAATGTCTTTTTGCAAAAGTTCTACCTTTCCATACGCGGTGGTCACGACGACTTTCTTGCACATGAGTAGCTCGATGGAGTCTTTACATTTAACGTTGGATACCCTGACATTGTTTGATGTGTTTTTTATAAACATAAGATCCAACTCACAGCCGGGGAGCCTGTGATCCCTGTAGTGCTCCCCATCGAATGTTTTGTATTGATCTTGACCCGTAGCGGCGCATTCGTAATCAGGTAAACTTTGAATGTTCGGATCGCTCACCCATTGCCTTGAACCGTTGCATATCCTAGTAACATTCAGAAAACAGAAAAAAGTCGTTTTAGATTAAGCACTGATAATTGTAGTGACATTGCGAATCAAAATGAACGTAATGTGTCAAAGTGACGTGATGAAATGCTACTCCCCGCTTCAGGAAATCTAGGGAGAATGGGTACAAGTTATGGATGCAGTGATTTTGCTGCGACGAAAGCTTTTACCCATTCCCCTCATAGTTTCAGGAAAGGGGAATTGGTCCTCTGCGGGTGGCTAGTCACGTGGTACATAACCGCCATGCAAGAACTGCACTGCGACAAAACCAACAAAGGAAACCGCAATTTAATGGACATGAGCTCTTTGCTTGTCTTGTCCTAGCGCATTTCTTGCATCCCAGTATGGCGGTTGTGTACCACGTGACTGACCACGCGGCTAACAAAACAATACTAAGGCTACCTTCACACGGAAAGGGACGAATTTTCGACCGGTTAGAGCGATTTGCGTATTATCTTTAAAAATGTTTTCGGTAAGTGTTTGTTATTTGTTTAATCAGCCAATGGGTGAAAAGATCAAAACATGGCCTCTTCGTTTTGCCGCCAAAGAAAACCCTAATATGGAGAAGGCATTATTCGATTGGCCAATCGTGTTGCAGTATGACGTCAAAGCGAAGTATCGATTGACTTCTAGAAAGTTCTTTGGGCACGAAGTTTTTTCACCCGAGCATTCGCTTAACCAACCAAAAGCCACGCGCGTTTGTATCCGTTCGAAAAACCAATCAAATCGCTCTATTTCCGTCCGTTTGTGTTTCTGTTTTGCTCCCGCGTTTTCATTTCAAGGTCATATGAGAATAGCTCTAACACTTCGTAAGTTGAAATATGACGCGTGACCGTTCAAAGTTCCGTGTGAACAGAGCGAAAATCTTAAACGGTCCCGTGTAAACAAGGCGTCCGATCAAATTTTTCAGCCGGTCTGAAAATTCTACCGGTAGTGTGTGAACGTAGCCTAAGATGCAGTGGTGGATCCAGGAGAGTAATAATAATAATAATAATAATAATAATAATAATAATAATAATAATAATAATAATAACAATAATAATAATAATAATACACTTTATTTAAAGAGGGTAGCACGGAATAGTTACAGAAACTAGTTAACTTGTGGCCCTCTACAGTGGAGTGCCCGGGGGAGCCGCCCCTCCCCTTATTTTTAGACCAAACTGAGGCCCGAAGGGACAAAAAACAAATTTTTTTGAGACCCCCTCCCCTCCCCCCGCTTAATCTCAGGGTCCGGATAACCGACGCCCCTTATCTGAAGGTCTGGATCAGCCACGGAGATGAATGCCAGTGACAATGTCAGTGAGAGTAACTGTGATAGCGACAAAGGGAAGCTTAAGCAACGATGACTGCGAAGGAAACGAGAACGACAAAAGGGCAATAGGTCAAGATTAGCAGAACACATCTTTGCACGTGCAGCACGCTTTTTTGCCGTCGTTGGAGGACTATAACGTGCAACTTCCTAATTTCGCGTTTTATTTACTGTTCGCCTCGAGTTTTTAAACCTGATAATACACGGCTGCGAGGTTTTTTGAACGGCTTCAAAATCTCTAATATAGATCAACTCATTCTTGCACTAATATTTAGATTTTGGCTATCTTTGGTCTAAAAAATTGGACGTAAAGTTTAGCCATGTCTTTATCAGATATAAAGACACTCGTTAAACATTGATTTCTTTTGTTTTTTTTAATGAGTTTTTGAAGGAGAACGACAACCGAGACAACGATTTTCTAATTCATCGACTGAACTTAGACACAATCCTTTAGAATAGCTCCAGAAAACTTCGCCACAATTTGGCAAATTGAGCGAGATGAAATAAGAGGGATAAAGTTTGAATTAGGGAGAATCAACTTTTTAAACCACGATTTCGTCCCATTCGCCCTTGTATGTGCTCAAGGTCCGTAGTGACAATGCTATGGCAGTGATAGGAGGAGAAAAGGTTATGGTGATATTTACAAGGTCAATGATTCTGAAAATAAGAGTGGAAGAGAAAGTGATTGTGATACCTAGCGACATTGACATTGACAAACTTAGTGAAAACGGTTACAACAATGATAGCAACAGTGTCAGTAACAGTGATTGTGATGTTCACAGTGACATTAAATTTAATACCGGCTTGCGATGATGACAGTGAAAGTGCCAATGATGGTAATATTGATGTGGAAATGCCAAGGATGGTAACAGTAAAAGTGACAATAATGCAGTAACATTGACAAACATAGTGAAAATAATGGTAACAATGATAGCAACAGTGTCAGTAACAGTGATAGTGACGTTCATAGTGACAGTGACATTAAATTTAATACCGGCTTACAATGATGACAGTGTAAGTGCCAATGATGGTAACGGTGAAAGTGACAATGATGCAGTGACACTGACAAGCATGGTGAAAATGATGGTAACGATGATAGCAACAGTGTCAGTAACAGTGATCGTGATATTAATAGTGGCAGTGAAGCTAATACTGATAGTGATGATGACAGTTAAAGTGCCAATGATGGTGACATTGACATAGGCAACGCCAGTGACTGTGGTGGTGCCAATGACGGTTACAGTGAAAGTGTGACAATGATACAATGACATTTACAAACTTAGTGAAAATGGTGGTAACGATGAAATCAACAGTGTCAGTAACAAAGATAGTGATCTTAATAGTGACAGTGACATTAATACTGACAATAAAGATGACACTGAAAGTGGCAATAATAATTACATTGATAGCGACGGTACAGTTACAATGATTGTGACAATCGTTTAGTGACAATGAAAGAAAAATAAAAGGTATTGTTAGAGAAAATGATTGTTACAATGAACGTGGTTCTGAAAATAATGGTCATAAGTGACAGTGTTTAATGATGATAGCCACATTGATAGTAACAATAATGGTGACAATGATGGCGACAGTCATAGCAACAATGCAGCGAAAAATGCGCATGCGAATTGAAATTCCTCATCGCCGCCATTCCAAACAAGAACGAGTACGAGATTTGACTTGAAGTTTCTTCGCATATTCTCAAACTATAGACTGCCCGGAAAGCTTCATTTTACCATTTTTCACTAGAAAAGTTAGCACTGTTACCTTTAATGAAGGAGGTTACACCCTCTCCCGATCGTAAAATGATAAAACTTCTAACATTTGATAACTTTTTTCCGCCACTTCGACATTCTCGCTAAAACTCGTAGCACAGTGACGACGGCTACCACGTTTTCCCGCCAAAATGACGCTGGCACAGGCGCGTACACTACTCAGTACTGAGGAACTGAAATCTCGTACTCGTTGTCATACTCGTCTTAGAATCTAAAGGTCTCTAAAATGACCCTGGTGAAGCTCAATCTAAACGTTAAAGAGCGTTATGGTGGTGTCCACACAGCCTATTGAAAGGTGACAATTTAAGGCGAAATGAAATGCAGGCCACTATTATTACAACTTAATGGGTCGGTTATTTAAACGAAGTCCTGTTTACTGCGAACATGCGAACTATAAAGTTCAAAAGCCGCCTTCACAATTGCGTTTTTGGCTGCCGTCAATCATAATTACAATCACAAGCAACGATCCTTGAAACACGGAAACACACAAAACGGATCGAAATCTACCAATCACAATTCACAAACCGTGACGTTTTGAACCCGTTAAAGTAAAGTTGACGACAGCTAAAAACGCAAACGTCAGTTGGCTTTTGAACTTCAGAATTCGCGTGTTTTTGAAAAGCGCAGTAAGCCACGGTTTAACTAATCTTTTGACCTCCAGATCTTTTCCTTAGTGGGTTACGTTAAGAAGATAAATGCTTTCTAGTCCACTCTATGTGCTTTCATAGACCTGTTCACAATAAATGGCGTTTGGATAAAACCGTTGGGCAAATTGAAAATGGCTTAGAACGCAGTTTTGTTAAACACTGGTTAAAATACGTTTAAATAACTGGCCCAATGTTAAAAAATAGCTTTTCCTGTTCTACTCACCTTGAACAAGACAAGGGATGTGTAGCGCCCTTCTCGAAGTATTCAGTAACGTTATTGATTGAAGCGACACAGCCGCACTGGTCTACTTCCCCACACTGTAGTGTTTGTTCGTTCCAGTAAAGCCCTTTCGGGCAATGACATCCGGTTGAGGTTTGCGTTGGATCGTCCTCTGTCAACCCCACGCAAGTTTTGCCCTGTGGCAGCAATTCTCTTCCATGCGTGCACCCAGCTGAACGATCCATAAGAATGTTTTTGTCAAGGTCTTTGTTCAGTAAAGGTTAGAGGCAAAAAGAAGAGGTTAAGTGTTAGCAAGGGTTAGAATGTTACTCAGTCGTGTCACCTGCCATGAGCTGTTGATCCCTTGCAATTGAAATCACACTCAGGCTTCTGAGGTATAACTCTCAAGTTGCTGTGTCAATGTGTCACACTAGACTTGTGCACTACCTACACCGGCTTACAGTACGGATCGAGCTATCATTGCTATTGGACAAAGTTTTCGAGATCTTTTTGACATGTTTTCGACCACCTTTTTGATTAGTTTGACGGGGTCTACTTGTTTAAAAGGCAGAGTCGTACGCACTTCCTAAACGTCCTTGATTTTGCTCAAATTTGTCAAATCATACTCCGTTACAAGAAATATTTTTTCAACTCTCTTCTCAGTGTTTGACGTTTGTTGAAACACTCCATCTTGTGTTTGATGAATTACATGGAAATAACGGGAGGTTATCACATTAGCGAGCCTAAGTGGTTTGGGAGCTCTCGAGATTAATATATCGACTTGAAGATATCTGAAGACCTTTGTTGATCATAAATTCTCGAAAAATTTCTGAGTAAAACTTTGCAGAGATTCATGTCAATTATTCATGATCCGAAATCCAAACCTGGCTCAATGTTTTTCGTTTTGATTTATTTTTTCTAATTTTCAAACTTCAATTATCAGATCTTGCTAAAACCATACTCTTTATAAAATCAATGTTGCATTTCGTTTTAACTCAGTTGATCAAAAGATCAATAAATCTGCTTGGTGAATAATTGCTTTCATTTCTATAAGAGACCAAAAAACAGACTTCTTGATTTCACAAACGTTCCCCAAAAATGCCAGTCTTAGTGTGACCTGCACTAGCAGCGAGAAGTACCATACATAGGTTTATAAGTGACATTCATCCTGGATCGGGTTAGAATTGGAAAAAAAAGTCATGTTATAGGTCAGTATATGTTCAATAATATTGACATTTCGTATGCTCAAAACACTAGAGAACTTTAGATTCGAGGACGACTACGAGAACGAGATTTTCTCAATACTAAGTAGTGCCCGCGCGTGAGCCAGCGTCATTTTGGCGGGAAAACGTGATAACCTTTGCCATTCTACAACGGGATTTAGCGAGAATGTTGTAGTGGCGGGAATAAGTAATCAAATATAAGAAATTTTAAGATTTTGCTATCGGGAAAGGGCTTAACCTCCTTCCGTATAAATAAACCTGCAAACTTTTTTGGTGAAAAAAAGTAAAATGAAGCTTTCCAGGTGTCTTTTTTTAGAGGACACGCGCAAAAACTTTAAGTTAAATCTCGTATTCGTACTCGTTCTCGTCCCCAAATCTAAAGCTCTCTATTATCTCCTCTGCAGAGGCTCCCGCTGAGTATTTTGATGAAAATAGCAATAATTAAGAAAACTAGTAAGCACGCGGTGGACGATGGGTAGAAGGAAAAGGCGGGAGCGCTCTTCTCTTCTTCCCATCGTGCCCTTCGTACTTTATATTTTCTCTCTCCCCAGCCTCCCTACGACACAAAGAGGCCTCGGCGGAGGAGAGGCCTGTAAACAAGAATTAAGAAAGATAAGAAGAACAATCAGGCAGCAAGAATTGTTTCAAGTTGAGCTTGTTTAGGGGTAAGGCTATTGTAGCTTGCTGGCATTACAAAGAGAAAGCATTGTGGAATTCTTACAGATTCGAACAAACAAACATACGTGGTGATAAAGGGGAGAAAAACGTCTAAAAAATGTGTTCATGCCTAAGTATGTATTGGAACCGGATCAATTAAGGTTTCTGGGAAACTGCTCACCTACCCCTCTCCTAAGCCAACATTTTTCCTTAAGTGAGAAGAAAGTATTAATGTTGGCTTAGGGGAGGGGTAGGTGGCAGTTTGCCAGAAACCTAAATTGTTCCTCAGAAACTTCCTTTCAAAATTTCTTCCAAACGTCCCCATAAGGTTCAAAGATTTTTCAGTAACTCTGTAAAACCGTAGAAAAAAACTTTCAACTGGTATTATATTACCTTTTTTGACCATTTTCACCCAGAAAATTTTTGAAAAAAAAGATAAAAAGACGAACAGATTAATCCGTTAATCGTTAGGCTGGGTTACGGTTATAAACAAATGCTAATAGTAACTGGACAATAAAATACTACTAGATAAAAAAATTCTCAATATATTGTTTCTGAAATTCCTCCACTCAAACCCTCATCTTAGCTTCAGATTGTTAGGGAATTTTGGAAAATTTTTTATTTAAAACTACCCGTTTCAAACTTAGGAACCCTAAGCAAAGACGTTTTACAGCGGAGCAGATCAGCGGGAAGGGACTTTTTGCATTCATGAGTCGTGGTTTTGCCCACATTTTCGAGCAAATCATCTCTATAATACACTTAGCAATACAAATCTGGTGGTACCAAGGGATATTAGGGGGGAAAAGGCCTCACTTCCGCTTGACGTGCATCGCTCAAAAACGCCTTCGCCTTTGCCTTCGCAATAAGTCCTGACGCAAACGTAGACTAACACTCCCAGAATCGATTTATAAACCTTATTACTACCAATTTATGCAGGACATCACCTTCAACACATCTTTAGACTTTTGTCTCTATGATTTTATAGGACAGACATTCGCATTGTTCTAAACGAGTGAACAACTGGGTACAATATGCGACCACAAAGCTTCTTGTATCGTTTGGAGAGACAGGATTCAGATCAACAAAGATTGGCGCACTACAAGTGCTGTATACAAAACTATAATAATACGGTTTAAAAAACGCAACTATTTTTCACTTGTACAGAATTTCTCGAGACCCAGATCCACTAGGTATGTCTCCTCCAGTCAGAATAACCTTGAGTGCGTTTTTAACAGTTGGTTTACCGCTATCCGCCATGTTTTTGATGTCCCTTCAAACGATCCCTAGAACCTTTGCGGTGATAAGTCGCGCCAGTTCTCAGCTCGTTTAGAACATGGTTTATCACCAGAGGAGGGAGCTACCAACCTTGGCAGGTGTCCTTTGCAACGCATGCACTTCCTCTGAGTACCTCTTCAGGATCTTTACAATAGCAGCCCTCAATGCACCCACGCCTAATGTAACCAGAAGTGGACATGAGTGAGTATTCAACGATATTTGTAATTGTTGAATGTATCTAACTGTAATTTGTCTACCCGTAGAAGTACTTAGGAGTTTTTAAGAACTCGTTTAAACGTGTCCGTGCGTTCCAGATCGAATTAAAATTTGGCACTGTTTGTTGGTTGTTTGAGAGAGGGGAACACTGGAGTACCCGGTGAAAAAAGTTGTCGGAGTAAAGGAGAGAACCAAAAACAAACTCAACCCACATATGGCGTCCACGCCGGGATTTGAACCCGGGCCACATTGGTGGGAGGCGAGTGCTCTCACCACTGCGCCGCCCTTGCTCCCGTGTTAAAAAAAATGATTACGCAGGAACAAACAAAAACAACAAACCGACAAGAATTTCAGAATTTAATTGGTTTACCGAACGGACTCAAATGCTCGAGGCTTTTAGTTGGGTTAGCTTACAAGTAACACATTCCTAACTGAAGAAGGACTGATTAAAGGGAACCTCCACTCTTACTACAGAATAAGTTTAAATCGAATAAAATTATGTTGAAAAAAAAATTGGTTCGAAATTTGTCCTTAAAAAAAGTGTTTATATCAGGTAAAGTGAATTTTAAAATCGCTTATTTTCACTTTCAAATTTCGCGGGCGCCGCCATCTTGAATAATTGTGACGTGTTACGGTTGCTCTATTGTTCTGACACAAAGAGCTTTTGTTTAATAACAATAGGGCAAAGCGAATCTAAAAGTTATTTCTTTCGGATACAAACGCTTTCTTTAAAAATATTTTAGATTGACTTGACTGTAACAGTTATTTCCTGTGATTTAAAGTTATCTTTTTGTTGAAGTGGAGGTTCCCTTTAAAAGTGATTATTCTTGCCTGGGTGGTGTTATTTTTAGGAGGAACAGAGTGTTGATCAAACTTAAGAGATTACACTATCAATGGAGCTAACTCATACAATCTTAGGCACTAACTGGTCAGTAAAGAATAAGATGCTGGGGAACTACTACCCCTCCCCTAACCCAACATTTTGCCTTAAGTGAGAAGTTTGTGTTAACGTTGGGACAGGGTAGGAGTAAGAGGGAAGATTACTAGAATCTAATGCTGTTCCATTTGTAGTGAGATTTGCCCAGCATCCCCTCCCTTTCTGTGGTGTTTTGCAGGACTTACTTGATACAGGGGACACTGTTGGTTACGTCGCCGCATGTCAGAGGACAGTCATCATCACAATTTTTGAATTCTTGATCAGCACTTGGACAAGTTTCTATAATAAAATAAGTACGATTACAGTAATACTTTCCAAAAGATCACCTGTTGTTATTTCCGAAACCAATGACTGAGTACCTCAAGTGTAGTTTTAGTTACAGTGGTGCTCTTTTATTGAGCAATTTTCCCCAGGAGGTACCGTATTTATTCGAATAAGCGCCTAACCTCGAATTAGCGCCCACCTCGAATAAGCGCCCATCCTAAAGGAAGAAAAAGTTAATAAGCGCCCAGCCTCGAATAAGCGCCCACTCCACCCCACTCCCTCCCACAAAAACTCCAATAAGATATAATAAGAGACCCTCCAGAAGACGGAGTTTTCTTCAGGGTAGTATTGTACAGAAACCCTGCTTTGTTACATCTTCGCTTTTTGTTATTAGCATTTACTGTTTTGTTGCAAACTTGCTAAGAATGGTGAAAATTTAATAAGCGCCCAGCCTCGAATAAGCGCCCACTCTCAAGGTCCAAAAATTTAATAAGCGCCCAGGGCGGTTAATCGAATAAATACGGTACGCACAGCAAATCAAGTTGTTCTTGAAATGTCTTTAAAAAAAGTATTAATTGTTCGTATGCTAATCAGTGCGTCCACAAGGCAAATATGTAAAACAATTAGAGAGAATGTCATTAATTCTCTATTGTAAAATGATATCTTTTTTAACATCGTGTATAAATAAAGTCATCATTCGCCTTGTTGTTCAAGAATTGTTGAGTAATATAAAAACACCCCCACCGAAAAAAAACCCTACGGTTACTGATTTTCGTAGAGTTAAAGATGATAACTCTAAAGCGGGACGTGCACATTCACGGTTTTGGATAAAACTGGGAAGATTTTTCGCCTGTGTTGCCCGTAACTAAAGAAACATCTTTCTCATTTCATCATCAAAAACATGTACATATGGCTCCTACTGAATTACGGTCTGAACAGTCCGCGTGACGTTCGTCACTTAAACTAGATGAATGGCCTTAGTACCCACGAGTCCCTATAGTTAAGCGGAGGAGAATCCCGACAGGAAACCAGAGGGTCGTACGTTCGTTTCCCGTTAGAAAAACTAGGAGTCGTTTGTGTCACTAACTGAAGAAAAATCTTTTTAATTACTCCTAAATACTTAATAATTCTGGTACTCTTTATAACCCTTTCACTGCCAGAGTGTTTGATGGAGTTCTGTAAGGTGACTCTAACTTTTGAGTCTATAGACGAAATCCTATGACGTGACCATTCAAATGAAAGCTGTCTGCCTGTACTTTCACATGATGCTATTTTTTTTTCAAAATGTTAGAAAATGAAATTTGCAAATGTGGTCGAAATTTGCCTTTGGCCAAATTTGGCAGTAAAAGGGTTAAAGACAAAGACAATAATCACAGCACCATGGAATCTCTTTGAAATTTTTCTTCAGAAAAGTTTTTGAAAATATACTCACTTGCGGTGCACCCAAGCACAGTTCTCCAAGGTGGGACAGGAATGCCTTTATCTCCACAAGCCTTGGCGAACCCAGCCGCTACGTCACAAAGGGAGTCTCCGTTCCTACACGCTGTTTTCATGGCCCTACTGTAGTACGGATAAGGATCTACTTGTTTTTTGGCCAGACAAGCACTGAAAGGTCCATTTGGGTCTATGATATGATTGGCTCGAGTTTCTGAGGAAGCTTTATTCTTAGAATAAATGGTACAGTAGTCCTTGGATAGGGTGGGTTCGACTTCTCCGAGTGGGGTCGAACCTGAGGCGCAACTTCCTACAGCCCAACTGCGCAGGAAGTTATCGGCGCTCTCCAGTGGGCCACCTTGAGGATCGGAGAAATCATCCGAGCTATCTTTGTTGTACGTGCCGCATAGACCGCAAGTTTTCTCCTTTAAGTCTTCATTCGCAGTCAGATAAAAGTTCTGCCCGGAGGAGATAAGTTCAAAAAATTCAGTGGACATGACCAAACTTCCTGTACTCCCGCCGATCAACTCTAGCTGGATGAGGTCATCGCCATACTCATGCCCAATTAACGGTTGGCCGTACACAACGACATTAATATCCACGTTCATCGTAGAGATAGTTCTTTTAATTTCGACAACTCTACCACTAATTGTCACAATGAGGTTTTGTTTTTTGCAATTTTGGATGTGCTCGTTTTGAACGCAGTCTTCGTTTTGGACTTCAACCTTGAACTGAGAGGAGATAAATGAGCAGTCACGGAGGAGTATGTAGCCACATTCTTCTGGATATGCTTCGTATTGTTTGCCGTCAAAAGTCTCGAAATTTGTGAAAGCCAAAGCGGAACAGGTCGCTGAAGAAAACCAAATAAGGTAATTAGATATCTTAAAATATACATGAAACTTCTCGAATCTGATTGGCTGAGAACACCTTAAGGAATGCATTCCACTGGGAAAACAAGGACAGAGGGAATTTTTTTTTTCACCTTTACTTTTTTTCAAAGAAAGCAACAAGCAATAACCACAACAACAAAAAGTACAAAGTCATCACAGTTCAACTTTTTAAGTACGCAATAGAGCAAAAAACGTTGATTGTACATTATTAAAAGTAACATCTAGTTATATACAAGTATACAACATTTTCATCTTCTTTTCATTCCATTTCATTCATTTTTCATTCCACTGGGAAATTTTAAGACGGACCGAGGGAAGTAGTACATGTATATTGGTACTTACGTTTGCAGGGCGTACTTAAGCAATTCCAAAATCCTCCATCACATTGGCTAAAGAAGAGAAAGAAAAGCGATGTAGTCACTTCTTGAAAATGCTCGAGGTAAATTTTGTGGAATGAAGCGCGCGTTTACTTTTCTGTACATTAGTAAGGCTAAAAAAGCAAGTTTGTGCGGTGGCCACTTGAGTTTCCCGACAATTGACAGAATTATGCTTTGATGCACAGGACGGCCAGGCTGCTCAGCATGGTCGAGAATGGCGGCTGGCGATGCTAAACTTTAAGATTCTTAGACGACGAATACTGTAAGTTCTGACGGAATTTACAGGTTCCAAGAAAGGTCAATATCATAAAATACTGTTGTGGTTTCAACGTGCCAGGAAAATATTGTCCTTGTCCCTTACCCGCATTTTTTTTTCTGGCTGTATTAGGGAGGTTAGGGAGGGCGCTCTTACTCCAACCCTGTGCTTTACGTAAGTTTCACAAGATAGAAGTTCAAAACGCGTATTATCAGATAATGAGTGGATGAAGGTCCAAACGGGCGTTTTTCAGTCATTTTTAGTGAAATTCCAAACGAATGCGGGCTACCTATGTGCCACGCTTGCGTAATAGCAACCTGGAGATGAGGATTGCGGGCTCCTCTGGTCGTCCGCAGTGATAATGAGTTTAAAACAAAGGAACATAAAATTGAAACCATGGACAAAACTGAACCACAACATATACAGGTAGGATTTTTGTCTCGGTCCTTACGGAGTTCGTCGTAAATTGAACCTATGCACTCACCAAAGTTGGCATTTTTCGTAGCGCATCGAACCGTGTTCATAATCTTGACCTCCATAAGTACAAGTGCAGTTAGAAGCTGCCACGCACTGAGTACCGTCCCACCACTGATTAGCTGGGCAGCTACAGCCGCTTACGCACTGGTTGCTGCACTCGGTGTCTTTGTTTCTGCAGGTTCGTTGGCATGCAGGAGTACAGTCTTGGTATTCCATGTTAGAGTCGCATGATTTGGCTGAAAGAAGACGACATGTAAGTGGCCAATCTAACAGGGCTGTGTCACGGCTGTGTAGATTACTTTGGTAAAAGTGCCCATTCCCTTCTCCACAAACCCTGAGAGGAATGGGCACAAGCTTTCTTTGCAACGGTTTGTGAGGTCGTTTGGGCTCTCAAGCCTTACTTTTGATTGGCTAATGGTTGCCTTTGTGAATTATAGTATTCATTTATTTGTTACACCTTAGGGAGTATATCTGCTTTCATGGCATGCATCACTGGCTAGCGGCATAAATTAGGGACGGGCAGTTTAGTCTAGTCAGCGAGTCAAGAGTCGAGTGCACATTTGTTCTTCGGTGGATTTCAAAC